TTAATGTTGTGTCGTTTGGTCTTTAGAGACCGTAGAGCAAGTAAGACTAATATTTGCATAAGTATGAGGTGTCGCTTTGTTCCTTAATTATTAACCACAAATATCTGCCAACTCCTGCGTGATACATGCTACTACATGATTTATTATTGACTCATAGTTTGAGCCTATTCATCAAATGAGAAATCCTAGATCCCTGGAGGATTCTTGGGTAGCCGCTATATGTAAGGAAGGGCTACACCCTCATTGATTAAGTAATAAAGGTATCTCTTTTACCTTGCATATTGCATTTATAGTTCTTAAGGGGCGTTTGGTAGAGGAGTAAAAAATTTTAACCAGGTAAATATAATTACTGGAAAAACAGAAGGAAAGTTTTAAAAAAGTTATTTGGTAGGCTGAAATATTACCATGAAAATTTGTTTAAATTTACTAAGTCTGTGTTTGGTTGAAATTAAAATATTGATGGGAAAATTATTGAAAATCCGAAAATACCCCTTTTAGATTTCGAATCTGAATTGAAATAGACCCGTGGAGGCAACATTCGTTGGACACCTTCCGTTCTCCATTTATCTGTGTTTGTGTGTGTCTCTCCTTTGGAAGTCAGGCACCATCACTCGGGGTCCGGTCAGGCGGTGGTTTGAGAAGTGTAAGTCAACACCCATATACAAGGTTGGACATTAGGATCGAGGGTCAATTATAAGTATGACAGTACGCATTACGAAGAGCCCAATGTGGTTCAGAGATTTTATAGACATAACTACATTATTGGTTGATTACAAGTATTGGCTAAGATTTAAAATATCGAGATAGCTACCAACTTAGATGTGGTTCTTCTGATGTCTTGGTAAAAATACAGAAGATCAAAAAAATGGAGTACTACACTTGTAAAATATGAAATGGTACAAGTAAAAGATAATTGTTCACGACAGAAGATGGAAAAGGCATCTTATAGAAGAAGCAGTCATCAAAAACTTAAAAATACATCACAATAAGGAAGCATGATAAAGCTGTCAGTGATGTTGAGATCAATACCATCCTAGCAGTCAAGGCTGGAGATTCTATTCCTCTTGATGGAGTCGTGGTGGAAGGAAAGTCTGAAGTTGATGAAAAAATGTTAACAGGAGAATCATTCCCTGTTACTAAAGAGTCAGATTCAGTAGTCTGGGCTGGAACTATTAATCTGAATGGTTAAGTATTTAGTTATTTTTCATCTCTTTTGTTTTGTCTCCTAAAACAATACTTCCCCTAAAATGATTTTGGGTACTTATCATTCCATGATATATAAGTGTAAAAACTACAGTGTTGGCAAATGACATAGTGGTGGCAAAAATGTCAAAATTTGTTGGAGAGGCTTCTAGCAGAAAATCTCGATCACAAAGATTCATAGATAATTTTACAAAATACTATTTTCCATGTACATGGCATTTCTATCTGACCATCGTGAGCATTTTTTCAGTTGCCTTGTTATCTGCAAATACCACCTCCAAGGTGGTTTTGTCAAACAGTGACTTTTGCATCACTTTACACACAAAACTGAATTACATGGGGAAAACAGTTGTCTAGTATTTTTTTCCTAAACTTCTACTAAACATGGTGTAATTAAATACCCACTCTCATTTATCCATCAATTCCACAATAAACCACCTACCAAACACCCCCTTAATGACTTAAGCATCAAAATGTGTGCTAAACTCACCACCTTTTTTTTTCATCAATATGTGGAGAAGCTTACCATAACAACCACCATGAAGCCTACTTCATGAAAACTCATGCATAACACTCACACCATGAGCTCGTTTGGATGAACTTTTTTCTTCTTCAAAAGTTACTTTTTTTTCTTAAAAAGTTGTTTTTTTAGGGAAAAAAATACTTTTCATTTTAAGTTTGTTTGGATGTCTGTTTTTAAAAAAATAAAAGTCACAAAAAAGCAAAAAACTTGCTTTTTTTAGAAGCTAAAAATTTTAGTTAATAAAAAAGCAGAAGTCAAAAATCAAATATTTTTTTAAAAACTAAATATTTTTATAAAAATATAACTAGCTTTAACTTTTGTAAAAAATACTTTTAAAATAAGAAAGAGATGAAAGTTACTTTTTATAAAAGCGCAAACAAACGGGCTCCATAATAGCCACGTGTGAGCAACTAAATTAATGAAATGTAAATATTTATACAAAAGATACGTAGATTTTAAAAACAATGTCTATTTAAGTAATTCGACCGCTGAAGTTAAAATAATATATCCATCAAATCCAAAAGGGCCGTCGTGAGCTAACTCGAGTCAAATTTTCATACGCAGTTCTAAATCCTAATCATTTAAATTTTGGTGGATAATTTTCTTTGGTACTTAATGGAATTTTTTCTCTCCAAACAAACAATAATGAGTTCAAACAGAAGCTTCTTTTTCGCATTTAGGTCACACCAGATACGTTTCGGACTTGCATACTTGCAAAGTTGCATTAATGTATGAAGCAAGATTTAAATTTTACTAAATGATATACTTTAAAAGAAAAACTATAAATTCATAATTATTGACTAAAAAATAAATTATAATAAATCATACTTATGAATATATTTTATAATAATTTCAACTATTAACTTTTCTATCAATAATTATACCTGTATATTATTTTGTCTAAAGTGTGTACATGCGACCCAGCCAAAAGTATGTAACAAGGTAGATCTTTTGTACCGTTGAAGGGCCTTATAATTTTATATTCTGGGGCGATAAACAAAGGCTAATAATTTCATTAGCCAAATTATATTTTTCTTTAAATTGAAATTAAAAAAGAATATCCAAGTGTCAAAGCTCCAGGCAATTATTAAGCTATGGTGAGTTGGCAAATTGAAATTCGGCTTCCTCCACATCCCATTGAAAATCATCAAGGGTCATTGGGATGTATAATAGTACTATAATAAGGGTCGATTATCCAAAGCGCGTAAAATTTTATTATCTTATAATATTTGATATGACATTGTATGAAATATTATATTTGTAAATTAATATTCTTCCATAAGAGTTTATTTTTTTGAAACAATTCCATTTATTCATATTTATTATGTTATTTCAACATTTAAAAAAAAAAATTTAATACCTAAAAAAACTTATAATCATCGTGCAAATAAATCTATACTTAATGCAACGAGCCTACAATAAAAAAATTGTAACCCCAAATCTATATCTTTGTAATTTACAACCAAAAAAAGTATACTTGAACAAATTAATAAATAAAAAATATGTGTATAAGATGAATTAATCAATTATAATTAAACAATACATTATTTAAGAATAATGCTTCTTATACGATTATTTACCACTTACTTCTTTTCACATTAATATGGTCCATGACAAAATCAAAGTAGTAAACATAGATCTCCAAAATATAAAAAAAAGTTATATTTTTGGTTGAGCTAATTTGTAGTTAAAAGTAATGTTATCAAGAGCCCGTTTGTTTACACTTCTGAAAAAAGTAACTTTTATCTCTTTCTTATTTTAGAAGTTCTTTTTACAAAAGTTAGAGCTATTTTTATTTTTATAAAAATATTTAATTTTAAAAAAAAATATTTAACTTTTGACTTCTGCTTTTTTTAGAAGTTAAAATTTTTAGCTTATGAAAAAAGTAGGTTTTTGACTTTTTTTGTGACTTCTACTTTTTTTAAAAGCAGACATCTAAATGAACTAAAACTGAGAAGTGCTTTTTTTCAAGAAAAAAAAGCAGCTTTTGGAGAAAAAAAAGCTCATCCAAACGGACCCTAAAATCGGTTCGGTCAATGACCCGGTTGAGGTACTGAGTTACTGGTTCAACCAGTGGGTCACTGGTTGAACCGCATGACCCGGTGATTATATATAAATCTATAATTTATATTAAATAAAATTATAAATATACTCAAATAGTTGAAAAAAATAATATAAATTCTAAATATTTTAATATAAAAAATAATAAATTATATATTATTGTCTAATAAAGGATCAAACAAACATATAACACTTGTTACATTGGTGTTTCAGGTTCGGTAAATGACATCTTTAACTATCAAATCAAAATTTTCTGCATAGTGCATAACTGAGATAATATTAAGATTGTAGGTACATAACTTATGTAAGTCAATAAGTAACAGATCACTCAAATATGTCAATTATGATTTTTTTTCGAAAAAACCCGGGCCGGGTCAGCGGTTTTTCATTAAAACCGGCCGGGTCGTCCCGGGTCTGATACTTGACCGATCTAATATGATAATCGAACCGGTCAGATGACCGATTCATCGAGTTTCGGATCATCCGATCCGATTCAATTTTCATAACATTGGTTAAAACTTAAAAGTGTGTTAGTGAGAATTGATATTGACACAACTTTTCGTTTCAATTATATATTATGTATTTTTCGTATTTTAAGAAATAAATTTATCTATTACACACATAAAATTATACGTGCTTTATATGAAGTCATAGGAAAAGAAAAGAGAAAAAAAATATAGATCATATATATTTTTATATATGTATAAAAAATAAAATTATCTCCTATAATGTGACAAATAATAATTCCTTCAATATATTACTACAATTCAAAAAAAATATTTAGTTACTTATATAAAATATATAAAAAATACGTATATATAAGTTTGCATGAATATATTGCAAGTAAAATACAATTACATTACTCATAAAAAAATAAAAAAATTATCAAATATCATTGACACAAGCGATAAGAAACTTATGTCCCTTGACCCTCATAATCAAAAAAATAATTTTGAAAGAATAACTTTCACTTTAGTTGTACAATACTTGAACTGGACTAATCTCAAAGGTAAATCGGTTGAGACGATAAAAATAAAAATTAAAAAAATTACAATTACAATAAATATTAGCACCGAACAATACATTAAAGAAAGACTGAGATACAAAATTGTTGCATGGTAATTAATAATAAGTATTATTATTACTCCCAGTAATCAATATGACATATTTTTCCTCTACTGAACTGGCCCTCTCTCTCTCTCTCTCTCTCTCTCTCTCTCTCTCTCTCTCTCTCTCTCTCTTCTTCCTTCCTTCACTTTGTTCGCCGGAAAACCCACCGGCGGGGCCATCAACATAAAAAACTCAAAAACCTCGCTTCTTTTTTGTCGAACAAAAACCATAGAAACTCTTTGATGCTGTGAAGTTCGAGAAAACCCACTATGGGAAACTGCAACGCTTGCACGAGAGCTGATGTGGTGGAGGACAACACCCGGTCGAGCGACACCAACCGTGGTCGGAAGAAGGAAACGAACCACAAAAAAACGAACCCATTCTCGGACGAACCGGTCCGGTCTGCGGCCCCGATCCGGGTCCTGAGGGACGTGATTCCAATGAGCCACCGAACCCGAATCAGCGACAAGTACATACTGGGCCGTGAACTGGGCCGGGGAGAGTTCGGCATCACGTACCTTTGCACGGACCGTGAGACGAATGAGGCCTTGGCCTGCAAGTCGATCTCGAAGCGGAAGCTTCGAACCGCCGTCGACATCGACGATGTGAGGCGCGAGGTAGCGATCATGTCCACGCTGCCCGAACACCCAAACATCGTGAAGCTCAAGGCAACGTACGAGGACAACGAGAACGTCCACCTCGTCATGGAGCTCTGTGAAGGTGGCGAGCTTTTCGACAGGATTGTCGCTAGGGGTCATTACAGTGAACGCGCCGCCGCCGCCGTCGCTCGGACCATCGCCGAGGTTGTTAGGATGTGCCACGCAAACGGCGTCATGCATAGAGACCTCAAGCCTGAGAATTTTCTCTTTGCTAATAAGAAAGAAAACTCTGCTCTTAAGGCCATTGATTTTGGCCTCTCTGTGTTTTTCAAGCCTGGTATATAATATTTGGATTTTAATCTTTTTTGTGTTTAATTATGTTTTTTATTTTTTGTAATTTTATGAATTTGGTTGGTTTTATTAGGAGAGAGATTTTCGGAGATTGTTGGGAGTCCTTACTATATGGCGCCGGAGGTTTTGAAGAGGAATTACGGGCCAGAGGTTGATGTGTGGAGTGCTGGGGTGATTCTTTATATTTTGTTATGTGGGGTTCCTCCGTTTTGGGCAGGTAGTGTTCTTACACTGTTACTCTCTCTGTGTGTGTGTCAGGGTTTGTGTTTTGTCTTCTGATTTTGGGTTTTGCTTGGTTGTGGCAGAGACTGAACAAGGTGTGGCTTTGGCAATTTTGAGGGGTGTGATTGACTTCAAGAGGGAACCTTGGCCTCAGATATCGGATAGTGCTAAGAGCCTTGTGCGGCAGATGTTGGAGCCCGATCCTAAGAAGCGTTTGACGGCTGAACAGGTGCTTGGTAAGTCATTCACAATACAGTGCATTACTGTTTAGTGAAGGCTGGATTTTGTAGTGAGTGAGTTTTTGTTGTTTTAGCATTTTCTCTTTTTGGCTTGTCATCATCCTAGAGGATTAACTTATAGTGAGTAGAACAGTGAAGTTGATTATGGTTTCATTAGAATTGGGATTTAATGCAGGAGTATGACAATTGTGTGTTTGAGATATTGATGTGTTTTATAGACTTTCAATAAATCATCTGGTAGGCACCACTGTAACTTTCCTTCATTGATATCAGTATCCATCCATAAGGGATGCTTAATAAACATTAGTTTCCTCCTTTGTGTCAGATTCTTACATGTATTAGGACTTCAAAAAATGGTGGAGAAAATCTTCAGCGGAAAGGCTGTAAAAAGAAATGGGAGATATAAGAAAGAAACCTTAAAATGTGATCCCTAACCTTTATTTCATCCTATGTGCCTGCTATACATGACACTATTCCACAACAGTTAGGCTTGGGGAAATTTATTCCTTGTCGTGGGATTAGTGGGGAAAGAGTAGGTTGCATTGTTAGGTACTAGAATGAGATTGAGGACCTTTAGGGCCTCCTTGGTTGAGTAGGTGGATAGTGGGAAGGTGGAAATTTTGGAATGAAAATCACTCCACACTTTCTTTGCATGACAATAATGAGAAGGGGGAAACTAAGATGTCCATTTTTCTAGGTCATAACTTCAGTTAAAAATCATTTTCACACATTCCCACTTTCCACCTACCCAACCAAGCATACTCTTCATTTTTGGTTTATATTGAAGAGGCTCCTACTTGTTGCTTTTCCTGGGCTGGTTAGTAAGTCTATAACTTTGCACAAGATGGATTTTAACTATCCTTCATAAGTTAAGATGGATTCATTTTGTATTTGTTTCTGGATTCGAAATGTAACATTGTTCACGCAGTTTGTCTGAATAAGACAGATATGGGTGGGGGAGGAAAGAAACATTCACTCCTCTGAAGTTGAATAGTGGCATTTATTGTTTTTTTTTTTCTTTGATAAAAACAGTGGTGGCATTTATGTTTTATTTTGTGCCTAGGAGGTTTTGCCTTGTGATAACTAAACCGGTGTCTCATGGGCCTCAAAATCAGAATGTTTAAGCATTTTGAAATTGTTATGCATACCTTGCAACTTTTTCTTTGTTTTAAGAGGAATATTCTCATTCTCACCTGGATCCTTTGCCCCATTGCCCCCTCTCCTTTTATAAAAGGAAAATAAATTGTTACATATTTGAATCCTTGTGGCTTGGGTTGGGAAGCTGAACTTTACATCAAATCTATCTGATGAAGAAAGTCATGTGAATATTTACCGTCCTTAATTATGCTTACAGGACATCCCTGGCTGCAAAATGCAAAGAAAGCTCCAAATGTTCCATTAGGAGATATTGTGAGGTCAAGGCTTAAACAGTTTTCTGTGATGAATAGATTCAAAAAGAAAGCTCTGCGGGTTAGCATCTATTCTGGTTTATGCTTGATTGTTGAGTCAAGTCTTTGTATGATTGAAATAATAAGGAAGTTGGAATGTTGGTGATTTGGGTTTCTATGAATTAATGCTACAGGTCATTGCGGAGCATTTATCTGTTGAAGAGGTAGAAATAATCAAAGATATGTTTACATTGATGGATACTGACAGAGATGGCAGAGTAACATATGAGGAACTGAAGGCCGGGTTGAAGAAAGTTGGTTCACAATTGGCTGAGCCAGAGATAAAGATGCTGATGGAAGTGGTAAGTTTCTATATTTGTATATCATTTATAATGGAATTGCTTCAGACAATATCAATTCTTTTGATCATTATCGTGATAAAGACATAAATCAATCTGATGGAGCTCTTTGGAACCATTTTTCTGGACTTCTGCTGCATGATTTCTTAGAAGTATGCACTTTTATACCAAGCAGGGCAAGGCTCTTTTGTAATGAAGATTTTTTCTTTCCTATTTACCCCACTGCATCCATATGCGGCATACACCATGATGAATGTGACTTACCTCACCATTTTGGACCTGGTGTAGCATAACATCATATAATATTAGATGCCACTTTTAATGTCATTGTGTGGTGTAAATTATGTCTAAAACCTACTTATAGGGACTTTGTTTGACAGTAATATTTAGTATTCAAAAAATAATGAGGTTCTTTCAATTATGGAAAGTGGCACCGGCTTATTAGAAACATTCCCTAATTTTCTATAAAGCTGGTGGAACACTCCTTGTTTCATATGAAGTGAGACTTATATATCTAAAAGGAGAATAAATTAAATTGCCTTTCATACCCTAATCCTGGACTTGTCAAATGTATTTATAATACAAATTTGTGATTCAAGAATGGTTTTCTTTGCTGTGAATTACTTAGGCTGATGTTGATGGGAATGGAGTACTCGACTATGGAGAGTTTGTAGCTGTAACAATTCACTTGCAAAAAATGGAGAATGATGAGCATATCCACAAAGCATTTAAGTTCTTTGACAAAGATGGGAGTGGGTATATTGAGTTAGGTGAGCTACAGGAAGCATTAACAGATGAGTCAGGAGAAACTGATGCTGATGTGATAAATGACATCATGCGCGAAGTTGACACTGACAAGGTTTGACTTCCATGCTCGTTATTTATTGTTTACTTGTTTCTAGTTTTCCTTTCTGCAGATGCTTACTTTATTAGTTAAACTAATATGGAATGACTAATGTTTAGTTAGTGTATTTACAATGTTGAAATTTCATGTGAAATTAGTGTTATTTGCTGCCTCTCATGTTACATCACCAACGTTTTTTAATTTTCTGTTTTCACTCCATAGGATGGTTGCATCAGTTATGAGGAGTTTGTGGCCATGATGAAAACTGGAACTGACTGGAGAAAAGCATCTAGGCAATATTCAAGGGAGAGATTCAAGAGTTTGAGCCTAAATTTAATGAAGGACGGCTCACTTCAGCTTCATGATGGAATTAGTGGTGAAGCTGTAGTGGTTTGAGTGCAAAGTAATTTCTTTCTGTAACCTTCTGGTCACTTGGTTACTCTTTTTTCCCTTTTACCACTCACTGTGATTAAAATATCGTTTGAGGAATCTCTCCATGAAAGCAAGTTTCGGGCAGGTTTGTGTTTGAGCATTTGAAGCATACTAATGATCTTGAGTTGGTGTTGGCTAGCTTAGGTTTCAGGGTTGGATTGGATGTTAGATGCTTGAAGCATGCATTGGAGGATTGCAATTGCTTACCAAAGATGTATTATAGCTTGTCAGCAAAAACTGTGGGGCACGTGCTACAGCCTATATGCCCTAAAGAAGTTGCATATTCTTTGTATATCTTTTTCCTGTTATATTGTGCTTGATAATTCCATTGGTAAATGTGTTTTTTCTAACTTATGTGCAGAAAACTAGTTAGGGCTTGTTTCATTGGCGACATGAACCGAGAAAGTTTATAGAAAGTCTAGGTATCTGCTAGTTGAAGCAATTTAATTTGTCTGAAAATGTAGCTATCTTAAGCCCTCAATATTGTCATTTCTGTTTTTTTCTTGTTTTGACACTATCTCATCTCTTGTCCTCAATTATGGTTAATTTGCACGAGGTGGAGACATTATCTCTTAGTTTGTGCATGGCAAACATTCTGTTCCCAAGCACTGTTAAACAATTTTTTATGATTCTGTGCCTTGATAGAGTTTTGAGAATTAAAATTACGTTTGTTAACATATTTTATTTTTATTTCGAGAATAAGAATTATGTTTGATAACACAATACTAATCTATTTCTTTACTTTTTGTTTACAGATTTCATCAATTGTATATAATAAATTGCAATAGATTTTAACCAAAATGCTAACATTTTATATTAAAAAAAAATTATAATATTTTATGGGTTTTTAATGTTGTTGTTTAATATATATTTTTTATTCTTTTGACTCGTGTGGGTCGCACATATTATGTTTGGGTAGGAATATTGTTTCTTTTTCATGTAAAAGGAGAAAGAAACACCCCATATTTAATTGTGTAATTTTGTTTACAATAAATGCTAAATATAGTTTTAACCATTATTTTTCATCCTCGGCTCAATTCATATTTTTTTTTATTTCTTATTTCTTTGACCATTTCTATCATATTATTACCTTAATATTAATGATACAAATGAATAAATAAATACGTATACATAAGTCACGTGGCTCAACTAATTTGCATGATATTATAATGAGTTAAAGCAAAAATAATTGATGTTGCATTGAACAAAAAATGTGACAAGTCTCCAATGTATTTTGAATATATCTCTTAATTTGTCAACATTATATTAAGGGCAAGTGATTGTCTCTAGTAGGGGTGTTCATCAACCGATCCAAATCGATTCAAACTGCGGTGACGAATCGAAAAATCGATAATCGAATAAATCGAAAATCAAAAAACTGAAAACCGAAAAAAATCGCAAATTTTAATTGGATTGGATCGATTTTCGGATTGATTTATGAAAATTGATCCAATATATTAATTCCCCTCTACCTATTTGGGCCGTTCCCTAATCATAGCCCAAAAATTTCTAAACCCAAGACCCATCAACTAAACCCAAGAAAAAATCTAGTCACATCTGATCAACAAAATTTCATGTGTAGAGCTTCATCTCTCATTGCTAAAAAAAAAACTATATTATCGTTTACTGATGCTTTTATATTTAAAAAATAAATAAACTACAAAGCCAATATATACAAAAGATGTTATTTGCACAATAATCATGAAACAAATTTTAGGATTTTCAAAAAACCGAAAACCGATCCAATCCAAACCGAAAAAAAATTGGATTGGATCAGATTTGAAAAAAAATTAAACCGAATGAATGATTACATGATCAAACCGAAGAGATTAGATTAGATGATTTTTGCTTTCAAAACCGATTCAATCCAGACCGCGAACACCCCTAGTCTCTAGCTAATTCGTTTGCAATATTTTTCTTAATAATATTTATTTCGGTCACTTTATTTGAGGGGTCCTCATCATTTATAGTTACAAATGTATGAGTTGATGATGCAATGTTGGGATTCGTATAATGTGCTAACATATTTCAAAAAACAAATCACATTTATAAAAAAATATCCACATCATAGTCGAAAATTGAAAATTTAAAAAGTATTCTCATCATAGTCATGTGAAAATGAAAATATGGTCTTCAATGCCATTAAACAAGACAAAATTAAAAAGTTGCAACACAATTTCATTCATTTAAAAATTTTTAGGAGTGAAGCTTACCAAAAAAAAAAAATTTATTGGAGTGAAACTCTTCTCTCAGGTGGAGTCTTTATAAAAGCTACTCTCCATGCTTGGCTATTAACCACTCGATCAACTGCTTTGCGGTATCCTTCATTCTCCAATCCTACCATGTCATTCAATACATCCATTGCAACATTAACTGAGTATGGATCCTCATTCACTTTTGTAGTAGCAAAATTAGAAAAATTATGGTGGCATTCTAATCTTAACCAGATCCTGAATGGCTTGACATGCCATTGCAATATCTGAATTTCCACTACCTCTTTTACGTTTTGTATTTGGAGTCCTATCTTGTCTATGTAGTATAGGATTGAGCGTCTCAACAGGATCAGATGCAAATAAATCTTTATTAAGCATATGTTCATCTTCTTTATATTCTTGTCTATGTAGGCATCTCAATAGGAATGCCAATATTATCACCATCTCCATCTAAAATTTGGTGTTCCTAATCATTTCCTACAGCATATCTCGACTTGCATAAACATCCCCCAAAAGATTTGTGTTTTTATCAGTCCATTTTGCTGTTAATCCTTCGGATGCCTCTTCTCTCAGGTGGAGTCTTTATAAAAGCTACTCTCCATGCTTGGCTATTAACCACTCGATCAACTGCTTTGCGGTATCCTTCATTCTCCAATCCTACCATGTCATTCAATACATCCATTGCAACATTAACTGAGTATGGATCCTCATTCACTTTTGTAGTAGCAAAATTAGCAAAATTATGGTGGCATTCTAATCTTAACCAGATCCTGAATGGCTTGACATGCCATTGCAATATCTGAATTTCCACTACCTCTTTTACGTTTTGTATTTGGAGTCCTATCTTGTCTATGTAGTATAGGATTGAGCGTCTCAACAGGATCAGATGCAAATAAATCTTTATTAAGCATATGTTCATCTTCTTTATATTCTTGTCTATGTAGGCATCTCAATAGGAATGCCAATATTATCACCATCTCCATCTAAAATTTGGTGTTCCTAATCATTTCCTACAGCATATCTCGACTTGCATAAACATCCCCCAAAAGATTTGTGTTTTTATCAGTCCATTTTGCTGTTAATCCTTCGGATGCCATTCTCCTTACTGATAACATGTTAGAAAATAAACCATAACACCAAAAATTAGGAATGCACATACTCAGCCTAGTGAATAATGGTCTAAGAAGCAATGTATAATCCTTTAACCTCTTCGTAAACTATATAGCTCATCAACATCACATATAGCACAAAACCAATCAAATTAACACATCCTTAAGTAATATTTGATTACCAAAACACCAACGAGAAATGACCCCAGCCACATATAGCTTTAGAATTCAACTAGCAATACATCCAACAGCTAATCTCAAGAAAATAGAGCACCACCATAACATCCACAACCCTAAACCCTAATCAAATTGATCCTAATCCCAAACCAACATAAGAATTAAATAAATCAAAACAAAAACAAAGATTAAATCGACTCCTACCAAAAAACCCAAAACAAGAAATCGAAATTAATCAAATAAAAAATTGAATAGATAGTGGATTTACCTGTAATCACGGTAGAAAAATGAAGCAAAGTGAGAAACAACAACAACAATGAAGAAGAACGAAATAAAGAATAACAAAACAGAGAAGTTGCGAACAATAAGGGAGAATAGAAGAATGAAGAAGGAAGGTGAAGAATGTTAAAAGAAAAAAGTAAAGGAGAGAAGAGAGGAGAATTTATTCAATCTTGGATGGTTAGAATTTTCTTATATGATATGATCATGTTAATTAACACATAAAAGGTTTCACTCTCAATTATTTTCTAAAAAAAAAAACAATAAATAATGTAAAAAAGGTCATTTAGAAGTGTGCCAAGAGTGCATTGAATATATATCACACATTGATTTACAATTTTTTCTCGTCTATTTATTTCTTCTTGTAAACTCTACTTTTATTAGAAGACTTTTAAAATATGAAATTATTTATTAAAAGATTATTATAATAATTTAATTGTTAGGAAGTTCAAAAGGTCATTTTTTTCCTTACAAAAAAAAGATAATGTAGAAAAGGTCATTTAGAAGTATGCCATGAGTGCATTTAATATATATCCACACTGCACATTGATTTATAATATTTACTCATCTATTTATTTCTTCTTGAGTAAACCTTATTTTTATTAGAAGATTCTTAATATATTAATTTATTCAAATATATATATATATATATATAGGGATATGTTATTCTACCTATCATTTTTTCTGCCTACCTTTGCCTACCATACTAAAACACCGTTAGATCATAATCTTAACTAACATTTATATTTCTCTCTCTTCTTGATATTCTGATCTAGCAGTATTGGAGAGTGGTAGGCAAAAGTAGACAGAAAAAATGGTAGGTAGAATAATTTATCCCTATATATATATATATATATAGAATAATTTATCCCTATATATATATATATATAGGGATAAATTATTCTACCTACTATTTTTTCTGTCTACTTTTGCCTACCACCCTAAAACACTATTAGATCAAAATCTCAACTAACATTTATCTTTCTCTCTCTTCTTAAGATTCTCATCTAACGGTGTTTTAGGATGGTAGGCAAAAGTAGGCAAAGAAATGGTAAGTAGAATAAATTATCTCACACACACACACACACACACACACACATATATATATATAGGGATAGGTTATTTTGTCTACTCTTAATTTGCCTACCTTTGCCTACTCCTTTCATTACCGTTCGATTACGATCTCATCCAACGGTCAATATTTGAAATATAAAATAAGTCTTTTTCTCCCTTTCTTTCTCCTCACTTCCTCACACACAGTTTCTCTCTCCTTAGCTTTCTCTCTTCCTCGACGGTCAATTTTGAAATTTACGATACTCTGATCAAAAAAGAACAAAAAACACATACCATCGACAACCATCAATCTTGAAACCTCACTTCCTCCAAAACCTCAAAATTCCCACTGTCCATAATTCGATTTCCCAAAGATCAAAACCTGTTTGGAACGAAAGAAATTATGGGAATTTCACATCTAATTAGGTACTGTTATTAGCAGCTATAGTCATATACCTATACCTATTCATATTATCTTCCATCGGCACCTCTGCATCCATCCACATTTTTGTCTACACATTTGTGGTCTGATTTTTATTTTTCGCAACAAGTAATTACTTAACAGTATATGTTTGCAGCGAGTTGATCTTCAATTGAATTAAATAAGGAAGAGCACAATGTGATCAATTGTTTTATGATGAAACTTTTCTTAACAGTATTCTTGATCTTTGGGAGTTCTTAATCATGTGGTAACAATGGAGATAAACAGCTACGCTGCAGAGAAGAGAGTTAACGAAAATGAAACTCTGCTTCTGCTTTCTTCTAGTGACAATTTTTGGTGGTAAATCGAGAATTGGAATTTGAGAATTAGGGCACCAAACGTGAGGTGCTGCTTTTATACAACCGCTGCAGTGGGTGTTGGCGTGCCCATGGCTCTTGATGCTCCTTGGCGTGCCCATGGCTCTTGATGCTCCTGATAGTTGTCGATGATATGTGTTTTTTTGTTCTTTTTTGATCAGAGTATTGTAAGGTTTCAAAATTGACCACCGAGAAAGAGAGAAAGCTAAGGAGAGAGAAATGGTGTGTAAGGAAGTGAGGAGAAAGAAAGAGAAAAAAAGACTTATTTTATATTGCGAATATTGACCATTGGATGAGATCGTAATCGAACGATAATGAAAGAGGTAGGCAAAGGTAGGCAAATTGGGAGTAGGCAAAATAACCTATCCCATATATATAAGAAAAAATATTTCTGCAGCCAATTTAGACAAGCTTATCTACAGCTACCCATTTATAACTATGTTCTCCCGGGAGAACATAGTTATAACGTTAAAGTTGCTTTTTTTTCTCTCTCTACGTCAGCAGACAGGTTCTGAAAAGTAAATGAGAAGAGGGAAAAAAAGCAACTTTTAATGTTATAACTATGTTCTCCCGGGCAAACATAGTTATAAATGGTAGCTGTAGATAAGCTTATCTAAAGTGGCTGCAGAAATGTTTACCCCATATATATATATATATATATATATATATATATATATATAGATAAGGATTATTTTAAAATTTGACACCTCATCTGAGAGTCGTTAGATAAAAAAAATCAATGGTGTCACATGCTTACAAATCAGAGTTGTTGATCTTTTTTGATCTAACGACTCTTAAATGAGGTGTCAAACCTTAAATTTGACACTGGTGTCAAAAGATCCTACCTATCTATATATATATATATATATATATATATATATATATATATATATATATATATATATATATATAGGGAAAAATATTTCACAAGCAGCTTAAGATAAGTTTATCTCTGGCTACTCCAAAACTACGTCGTTTTATTTATTTATTTTCTTATATTAATTGATTCACCTTTGAATGGTTATGATTCCTTTTTTCTCTCTCTTCCTTTATTACCATTGATCCATCTTTGTACGGTTATAATTTAGTAGGCCGAGATAAAATTATCTCAAGCAGCTTGAGAAACGATAAGCCCATATATATATATATATATATATATATAGGGGTAAACATTTATACAGTCACTTTAGATAAGCTTATCTGCAGTTACCTTTTATAACTATGTTCTCCCGGGAGAACATAGTTATAACTCTAAAGTTGCTTTTTTTTTCTCTTCTCATTTACTTTTCAGAACCTGCTGACGTGGAGAGAGGAAAAAAAAAGCAATTTTAGTGTTATAACTGTGTTCTCCCGGGAGAACATAGTTATAAATGGGTAGCTGTAGATAAGATTATCTAAAGTGGCTGCAGAAATATTTTTTTCATATATATATATATATATATATATATATATAGGGGAAGGATATTGTAACAACCAAGTTGTGTTAGTACCATGTTATTACCAATCAATCTTACCGTTAGATCGATTATGTTGATCCAACGGTTATATTTATTTCCATCTTTGTATAGTTATGATTCCCATATTTAAAGTGAAAGCTTTAAATATAAGAAATCATAAACATACAAAGGTGGAAATAAATATAAAGTATTAAATTTAGAAAATCATGACCATACAAAGATGGAAATAAATATAACCGTTGGATCAACATAATCGATCTAACGGTGAGATTGATTGGTAGTAACTTGGTAGTAACACAACTTGGTTGTTACAATATCCTTCCCCATATATATATATGGGAAAAATATTTCTCAAGCAGCTTGAGATAAGTTTATCTCCGGCTACCCCAAAACTACGTCGTTTTATTTATTTATTTCCTTATATTAATTGATTCTCCTTTGAATGGTTATGATTCTTTTTTTCTCTCTCTTCCTTTATCACCATTGATCCATCTTTATACGGTTATGATTTAGTAGCCGGAGATAAAATTATCTAAAGCAGCTTGAGAAAGGACAAGCCTTATATATATATATATATATATATATATATATATATATATGCATGATCTTTCGACTCTAACGTAAGATTATGAAATCTTATTCTTTATCTCAATCATTAATTTCTATCTATTTAACGTTTATATTTATTAATTAATTAATAATTTTAAATAAATTATAAACAATAAATTAATATCGTCAGATGGACGAAAATCAACAATGAGACGAGTCGTAAGATTTCTTAGTCTAATATATATGCAGGTTATATTTTTAACATCTTTTTGCTTATAAAGCTTTTTGTTAAAATTAAATCAACGACTCTCACTTGATGTTATTTTATAAATATTAATTTGATTTTAATCAAACAATAAAAATGACTATAATTAATTATAATAGAAAAGAGATTGTAAATATAATTTGCCATATATATATATATATATATATATATATATTCAAAAGAGATCAAAAATTACCGTTTATTGTTAAGTTAATGTAAACAAAGAGTTCAAAAATTACCGTTTATTGTTAAGTTAATGTAAACAAATCATGATGACATAACATAAAAATCATGATTTGTATGCAAATTTAATATTGCTAATTAGCTTTTTTTCCTTTTATTAGAGTAGCTAAAGTTGGATTTTAGACTCTCAGTAGTTATTTATTTGAATTTAATCTCTCGTTTTATTAATTGTTACAATCAAGTTCTTTTATTAGTTTTCTTCTATTTAAAACCCCAACTCCTCATTCTCTACTCAAATAATTTATAACGAATCCGGAATGAAAAGTGATTTGAATAGTTTAAAATATGAAAATATAGCGAGAATTTAAAAAAATTAGTTTTTTTTTTTTTTTAATAAATGAGATTAGGGTTTCGTAGTCGAGGAGATTTTCGAAATTTATGATTTCGGGTAAATCAAATGTTTTAAGTGGTGAGCTTGAAGAAAATATGGTTTAAAACGACTTAATTAATTTAGTTTGTGAAGAATTAGAGTAGAAAATAAAGATTTTGAGGTTTACAGATTAAAAAGAAAAAAAAGGAAAAACTAACCAAAGGATTTGATTGTAGTAATTAAAAAAATTGATGGATTAAATTTTAAAAAAATTATAGGGAGATATTTTAATCACAGTAATATAAACGAAATTTAATTAAGTTAAAAAATATCAATCACCAAATAAAAAATTATACTTTTTTCTGTCTTTTCTCATATGTTACTGAAAAAGAAAGGTAAAATAAAAGATACGAGTAACTTACTATTTATCGTAGGATCTTCAGTGTTTTAATTTTAATTTCAATTTTTTTTTTTGGGAAATTATTTTGAGTGAATGGAGCTAAACAATTTTCTGGCATGTTTTTTTTTTCAATATTACATGTTTCACAATTTCAAGGGATATGATATTTTATTTTTTTATTTAATTTTATTTATTTTACTTAATAATCTTTAATATCATTGTATTAGAATTTCACTTTCTTTTTCTTCTCTTCAAATTATGATTCAAAAATAAAGAGATAAAGTGTAGGTAAAGTATGTAACAAAAAACTGAGAGACAAGTGGAATTAAGCTAAAAATGATTACCAAAAAAAAAAAAAAGTATGTAACAAAAAAAGATACCCAAAATAACGTATCCCTATTTTTATATATGTTGTGTGTGATGCTGTCGTTACTTTCCCAACCTCTAAGGTTCATTGTCACATCATATCTTAAACTTTTTACAATAAACTAATTAAGGGCCCACGAAAAAAAAAATCATGAAGGGTTGAAGAAGAATCTTCAAAATAATTAAAAAAAATGCTGGCAAATAAAAGAAAATCCAATATATCATATCCAAAAATATTAAAATATGAGAAAAGCGCATGCTATATACTATATAGAATCCATCTCAACTCGTTCTGATTGTATATATTACCGAAATATTCTCCCACCAAATCTAATACCACATTAAAATCAAAACTAAGATTCTGAATTGATTTTTCATATTAAAAATTGAGTTTCTTGTAAAACACTCTTTTTCCTCCTTTCCATAATAGCCAAAGGGTCAGGGTCAGACCCGACACAATCAACGGAAAACCCTAAACGCAGATAAATCCCTCCCCAGTTGTTTCCTGCGCTGCACGTCGAAAAAATAAATATATATTAATAATTAAAAATCAATCACCCGAAAAAACAGAAACTAAAATCCGGGTAGGTATAATCGCACGGGACCCACATTTATAATTATGATTTTCATTTTATTTTCCTCTTCCAATCTTGATTGAGTCACCAATCGTAACCGTCGGATCCACACGCGGATCCCCTTTTGCCGTTACGCGCATTCCAACGGTCCTCTCCTTTTTTTTTTCCTTCCGCCGCCACAACCACCGCCACCGTGCCGGAGCTTTATAGACAGAGAGAGAGAGAGAGAGATGGGCATGGATTACTACAACATATTGAAAGTGAATCGAAACGCGAGCGATGAAGATTTGAAGAAGGCTTACAAGAGGCTCGCTATGATATGGCACCCTGACAAGAACCCCGTTAACAAGAGCGAAGCCGAAGCCAAATTCAAACGAATCTCCGAAGCCTACGACGTTTTGAGCGATCCGCAGAAGCGTCAGATCTACGATCTCTACGGCGAGGAGGCACTGAAGTCCGGTCAGTTCCCGCCACCTCCGCAATCTTCTTCTTCTTCGTCGTCTTCGTCTTCACGCGTTTACCAGAACCACCACCACCGCCAGAACCCTACCACCTCGTTCCGCTTCAACCCCCGCGACGCCGACGACATTTACGCCGAGTTCTTCGGTCCCGACGGCGCCGACGCCGGCGGCGGTCCCCGCAGGGACGCGTTCTTTAGGACCTCGAATGGCTCCGCGTTTGGCGGAGCGGGAAGGAAGGCCGCCGCGGTGGAGAACCTGTTGCCGTGTAGCTTGGAAGACCTTTATAAAGGTGTCAAGAAGAAGATGAAGATCTCGAGGAATGTCTATGATGCTTTTGGGTAAATCTATTTTAAACCCTAACCTAACCTAGTATGACGTTGCATGTTTGAAATGTTGTGCTTCTTTGAGATTGTTTCGTGGATTCTTCATCGTTTAATGTGCTAAAATTTAATTAATCAGCCTAAGGATGTGGTTGATTGAAACTAATTTTCAACCAAGTGTTAAAAATAAAGTACATTAGTAAGTTCTAGTTGCAAAAGTCAAATTCTGTTTATGAAAATGAAGTCTCGCCCTTCAAGTTTCAACCCTCTCCTCCCAAGTTACCCTTGCTCCTCTTCCCCTTTGACTTTGCTTGATTGATAATAGAGCTATATTACACCTAACTATAGTGGTTACTGAGCAATTTAATGGTTGATTGTTCTTGAAGTCCAATTACTTGATTTGGTAGGTAATATGACCTCATGGATTTTTTTTCTTTGTCTTTTGCTCTCTGATAACATTCACTTTTTCTCTCATGTCTATCAACTTTCTATGCTTGGGTCATTTATCCTATATTTGAGTGTAAAGATATTGCAGAGTATTTGATCTACCTTTTAACTAAGGTCTGAAGTGGACTTTGTGGCTTCATCAAATCATGGTTAACCAATGAACATGAAATTTAAGAGTGGGTTTTGTAAGTCATTAAATCATTCAAAATAAATGAGATATGTATATAAAAAATATGAATGCCATAATGAATCTATTATTTATACGCCACCATCTACCTTAGGAGAGCTAATTTTTCTAGCGAGCAGAAATATTTCATGAGCCATTCCTCTTAATCTGTTTCTAATTTACATATGAAAGGATGCAATTCATAAGTGTTAACTGTTAAGTATACCTTATCCCTGTGTTCATTTGTTATGATTGTGCCATATGGACGTGATAAATTATTGTGAAAGGGAATGGAGTAGGATGTGCCCTTTACATTTGTCAGTGAGAGGTTGGTAATGAGGGTCGTGCCCCCTTTGCACTTGCTTGAGCTGGACCTATTTGATAGAGTGAGTATTCATGTTAAGACTATCAGTACCACCTTAGAATTTTGTTAATGCATTGACTGAGATTTTGATTTGAACAAATTGCTGTCGGTATTTGCTTATATGAGGAACTTTAGGCTTCCCCACTTAGATTTCAAAAACAATTTCATCACCTTCCATTTGTAATAGACACAGCCCTGGCTTTGCCTATCTTTTGAAAGACAATTTATAATGGTTTATATATCTAGTTCATGTGCTTTGAGGATTATCTCTAAACATACTTGAGTGTGATAAATTTCAAATCTGCTATCAATTATGATTTTTGGTCTCTTCTGATGCTTGAGAATCTGATTGGCATTTTCTGCGGGATATATCGAATTTGTGCACCATTTTTAAGGGTGAATGGACTTTGATCCGGGATTTGCTAAGCAGCTGATTCTTTTTTATTCTTGCGTGATTCTATGTAGGTTATTACTTCTAATTTTTAGAAGTGTTAAGGATTTATAAATTCATTTCACTGAGCTTTCTTGTATTTTTCCTAGAGAAATTATGTTATTCTATCTGTAGAACATAAGCACAGTTGAAATAGTGTAAGTTCATTTTCAGAATGTTTAAATTTTGGTAGCCTAAATGGTTTTCTGAAACAAACGTTTACCTGGTCGTTTTCTTCAGAATTTATCTAGATGAAATATGCTAACTCTGGGATAACATATTGAGCTTTCTTTTGTCAATTAAAGGTAGTATGATGAATGCTAAATAGTGAAAGTAAAACAATTAGGAGGGGTGTATGCTTTGTTTTCTGTTTTCGCTTTAAGTTGATGTAATTTATAATTACAAAAATGCCACCTTGTATTCATTATGTTTTTAGTTTTCAAAATTTTGTGAAGGAAATGGTGAAAATAAGAAAATGTTGTTTTCACCATTTCATTCCCAAATTTTTGAAAACAAGAAGCATACTGAAGACACGTGGCATTTTTTTAATTATTAATGAAAACATGTGAATTGAAAATGAAAACAAATCGAACCAAACACCCCCTAAGTTTGTATTTAGTTTATAACTTTTTTTTTTCTTTTTTTCTATGACTATATATGGAGAAGAAAGAGAAGTCTTAGGTCCACCATGGCAAGCTAAGAGGTTTCTACTTTGCCCTTAAAATATGGGAGCAAGAATATAAAATAAAAATTAAACTAAAGCATATCTGTTTCAATAAACATGAAGTGGTTAAATTGAAGTCTACATCTGCTAGATGTTCTTACATTTTTTAGATGACTTGAGACAGTTCTGTGTCTTTATTTGTCATCCTGAAATTTAACTTGGTTTGCTTGACAGACGAAGGCTTTTTCATAGTAAGTAAGCTTGCAAATTAAATCTATTTTGGTGTATTTACATTGGTGTTTAATTAAGGGATTGGGAAACTTGAAAGGAGGTGGAGGAGGCAGATAATCATATAGATTGTTATATGAAACTAATCTGCATATCATATTCTTTGTCCATTCAATGTTAAACCATGCATGGTTGTTTACCTTGGCCCAATTATAAGGTTGTTTGCCTTGTAACCTGTTCATCGTGAGTTCTAGCTTATCTATCTGCTCTCAAGTGTACGGTTGCATACTGGCAACCCTCCCTTAACTCCACCGAAATGGGGTTCTTGTGCATTGCGCCACTTTTTGGACGCAAGTCAAGGTAGCATGATACTGTTATGTGTATCATGTTCAGTACTGCATGAATCTTGGAAAATTTTGAAAAAATATAAGATATAACGCACGCACTGACGCACACACGAATTTATGCTAATTATAGGTGCATAAAAAATATGTATACGCATATAAATTTTCAAGTTTGAGCAGAAAATTCAAATAAAAGACAAATCAACTATTTCTTTTCCGGTTTATGACAAATCGACTACTTAAGTATTATATACTCTGGAAAGTTAAAATACTATACATGCTAACTTTACCTGACACCTTTTGGGCTCTACTTTATATTTAAAGTAAGCCCTTCTTGACCAAGAAAAAAGAGTAACCAATATTATTAAGTACGAAGCTTGATTGCATCAATTTGGAATTATGGGGTCGATTGTTGCAATTGAAACTTGGGGATCAAAATCAAACTTCCATGAAACTAAAGGGACCAAAAGTGTAATTAAGCCTGTTTTCTTTCCTTTTTTTCTCTTACAAAATTTTATGGTAGTATATAGTAATTTGATTGATTAACCTATTATTGTTTTTGTAGAGTAGGAGCCTCTCTTATCCCGATTTATCGGTTTATACTTTATACATGGAGGTCTTCTAAAATCCAAAGATGAAAAGTTCAAAAGAATATCTTGAAAATTTTATTGTGATAGTAAATTTAACTACTCTGTTACATTGAAAAAACAGGGAAAGAACTTCCTTATTATACTATAGGCATGATCACCTTTTTTAGAAAAAATTCTGCCTTGATTTTTTTTCATCTAAAGAAATGTATATGGATGTCATTTTACAATGTTTGACACATGCAATTCCGTTTCAGGAAATGTCGGAATGTGGAGGAGATTTTGACTATTGAGATTAAACCTGGCTGGAAGAAAGGAACAAAGATTACCTTCCCAGAAAAGGGTAACCAGCAGCCTGGCGTGATCCCAGCAGATCTTATTTTTGTGATAGATGAGAAACCACATGCTCTTTATAGAAGGGATGGTAGTGATTTGGTGATCAACCAGGAGATAACTCTTCTGGATGCGCTTACAGGTAAAACCTTGGACCTCACCACCTTGGATGGAAGGAGTCTCGTGATCCCATTGACAGATATAGTCAAACCTGGTGCTGAGGTTGTTGTCCCTAATGAAGGAATGCCCATATCAAAAGAGCCTGGGAGGAAGGGGAATTTGAGAATCAAGCTTGATGTTAAGTATCCTTCAAGGTTAACTCCAGAACAGAAATCTGATCTGAGGAGAGTTTTAGGTGGAAGCTCATAAATATTTGAGTTTGGGGCTTTGTGTCTGGCGTCACTGGTGAATGCACATTGTAGATATATCATGTGCATGCAGTGGATGCATGTGAATAACAGGCATACTCTGGTGAAATTGAGTATTATGGGCTAACATACAGTGAGCCATATTTAAAATTTGGACTTTTTTTCAGGGTAGGAAACAAAAATGACTTTTTGGAAATGAGTGGAAAATTCTATCTTATTCAAACATATAGGGAAATACTACTGAGTTTTCATCGTTCTGCTTCAGCTTGTTTTGCCTTTTAATTAAACTCAAAGATTACTGTAGTCTTCATAGGACCAGAATGAGTAATGTGTTTATACCATGAAAAGTGTATATATTGATTGTTTATTTTATGGAGGTTACTTTTTGGTTATGCAATTTTTTTAAAATTTAAAGTACAACATGAAATCATGGTCTATGTTGTTATTGTGGCCTTGTATATTCTGCTATAAAAAATGTGATGTATAAACATCCAGTTCGTGATGTATATTCATGGCAGAATATTATATTGATTACTACTGTAGTCTTCATAGGACCAGAATGAGTAATGTGTTTATACCATTAAAATTGTATATATTGGTTGTTTATTCTATGGAGGTTACTTTTTCGTTATGCAGTTTTTTTAAAATTTAAAGCACAACATGGGATCATGATCTATGTTGTTATTATGGCCTTATATATTCTGCTATAAAAAATGTGATGTATAAACATCCATTTCGTGATGTATATTTATGGCTAGGGCAGTAAATAAAGCAGGTTTAGGCTTTTAAAAAAGTTCATTTAAAAATTAGAACATAAACCAACTTTAAAAAGCCTGGTCTAGAAGCTTGTAGGTCAGTCTTTTAATTTTTTTAATAATATAATATATTTATGATGTATGTTGTTCATTTAAAAACATATGATCATGATTTGTAACATTAATTTTCAAAGTAATAGGATTGATGTTATTTTAACAAATAATAAATATTTATTTAAAATTTAAAATATAATATTAAATTAAATTTGTAAAGAAAGTGCGAATTATATGTATATATACATATATGAAATTTTCATGTTATCTTTATGAAAATTTTCATGTGATTTTCATGAATATTTACATGTGATCTTTATGAATATTATTTCATGTGTTATAATGAAAATATTATTTCATGTGATCTTTGTGAATAAGAAATTTTATCTTTTATATTTTTATTTTTTTTTGTATAGTATCTTTTATATTTCAATTTGATTTGTGTCTATAAACTTTAGTTTGTAACTTGGTAGGCCTTACATACCGTGTTAGGCTTTTTAGTTTTATATAATAAGTCAGGCTAGAACTATAAATTAAGCATTTAATAAGCTAATAGGCCAATATAGGCTCTAAATATTTTATATAAGCTTAGACTATCAAAGTCAAAGCCGGACTTAACCTGACACTCCACATGAATGCATTTTGTCATTTTAAATGGAAAAATAAGGATATGACTAACATTTGATCATGAACCTTGTATAAACTAAGGAAAAAATGTTTCTGCAGTTAAAGCAGATAAGTTACCTGCATTTATTTTCAAAACGACGTAGTTTTCGTATTGAAATCTTAAAAAATTATAAATATAAAGACTATTATAACCCTGAAATAAATTAAAATTACAAAAACACCATGATTTTTGCCCAAAATGACGTCGTATTGGGCTAACTGGAGATAACTTATCTGCAGTAACTGCAGATAACTTATCTGCAGTAACTGCAGAAAAAGCGAACCCATAAACTAATAGTTAAGTTGACAAAACTATTAATCTCGATAGGTTTTTTAAAGGGTTTGCTTTTTTTTTTGCAGTTACTGCAAATAAGTTATCTGCAGTAAGTCCAATATGACGTCGTTTTGGGGCGAAAACCATGATGTTTTTGTAATTTTAATTTATTTTAGGGTTATAATAGTCTTTATATTTATAATTTTTTGAGATTTCAATACCAAAACGACATTGTTTTGAGAATAAATGCAGATAACTTATCTGCATTAACTGCAGAAACATTTTTCCCTTTTTAAATTACCTGGAGTGACATTCTTATCAATACGAAGATTATTTTTTGTGCCGGCTAGATTTTATGGGTATGTTTTGATGACCAAATAAGTAATTTACATAGAGATTGATATTTGTCCTTTTAAATGATATAAAATTGTGTCAATTGAAGTGAAAAAAGATATACACAATGAAAATCATAAGGATAGAAATGAGAGTTTTTTTTAATTTATATTTTAAGTAAAAAATACAAATTTTAATTAAAATAACCATCACTTAAAAGGATAAATATTTTTTTCATTTACGTAATAAGCACAAAATATAGGGGTATACATATTTTTTTTTTCCTTTTTCCTGTAAACAATTATTTACATAATTTTAAGTTAGGGATAATAATTAGGTCTGTTTGAGTAACACCTCTAAAATTTAAATATCTAATATTAGAAATAAAATTTATTCAATATCATAATTTATATTAGTTGCGACTAACCATCATATATGTGGGAGATTAATTTTTATATTTCTTCTGCTATAGTGCTATACTTTCGGCTGAATAATTTAACAAGGTTCGAGTTTTTACTGTATTTTTGTCTCAGGTCCGTGGTTTAATCAATTTTGCTATGATACTTGATAGTTCACTTCTTGGGCCTTTTCTGATATAGGTCGAGGTAAATGGATTTGGGCCCGTCTTTCCGTCCGATGGTCTACCAAATCATATTAAATAAAGGGAAATACTTTTCTTATGCAGTAGGAAAGAAGTTATCTTATATTGTAGAAATAAAATAATAAGTGGAACCCACAGGTAAGAGGAAAGAGAAAAAAAGAGTGGTGAGACTCACTCCTCTTTTGAGTGTGTAAGAAAATTGTTTATCTTATGTAAAATGAGATAAATATAACCCTTAAATAAATGAGATGTGTTATTCTACCTATCTTTATTCATGCTTACCTTATCTCGAGAGAAGAGAAAAATGATAAAGGTTAGTTGAAATTCTGATCTAATGATGTTAGAGAATAGTAGGTAAAGTAAGTATGAAAAAAATAGATAAAATAATTTATCTCTAGATAATAATGAAACAATCTTCAACAAGAAAAAACTGAACTAGCTTCCGTTATATGCAATTTGAATTTAGCGCTACTATTACAGATACATGTTATAATAATTTTTTTTAACATAATTAAATTTATTTCTATCTTCTAGTTGTACTTTTAATTCATCGTAAACTAACTAATTGCTGAAAATGGATTATTAATTTAATTATCAAGAAAAATATTTATGCAGTTACTGCAGATAAGTTATCTGCATTTACTTTCAAAACGACGTCGTTTTGAAATTGAAAGATTAAAAAATTATAATTATAAAGACTATAATAACCCTGAAATAAATTAAAATTATAAAAATACCATAATTTCCTCCCCAAAACGACGTCGTATTGGGTTTACTGCAGACAATTTATCTGTAGTAACTACAGAAAAAGCGAACCCTTTAATTATACATAAAATTGTTAAAATACGTGGGTACTGTAATTTAACTCATTATTTTAGCAGAATAAAATAAAATATGGGTTTAATATTTTTAGTTTTGTTGCAAAAAAATTTTTTGCCACACTCATATAAAAGTGAATGAATCTTACTAATTTTTTCTCTTTTTCTCTTTACAATTGAACTCACTAACTTTTATATGAATGTGATAAAAAAAATTCTGTAGTAAAAGCAGAAATATTTTTCTCATAAAATACAGCTCACATGATTTTTTTGGAAAAATAAACCTAATTTTCGGAAGTTTATTGGTGCTTTGTTTCCATTCTTATATAATTTACAGGTGTACTATCCTTACATGTTACTAGCAGTGAAGGTTTAGGTAGCCAGGATGTATAATTTATTGGCATTGCTCAGTCTCAGTCTCAAGAAATTTAACTAAATTTGGTTTGATTCCCTGCCTGGACCACTGGCCATAAAATGCCAATAATATTCTGAAAGCAATTCTCATGTCACATGCTCACTCGTCCCTTTCACTTCTGTTATTTTACTGTTAAGTTCTTCCCTTTTTCTTTTTCTTTTTCTTAGCCTTTAAGTCGCAATATATTTTATTTTTAATATTCTCATGTACCGTTATTGCCGTATGTATTTGTAGATTCAATATATGCAGAAGAAAACAAAGCCACACACCCAGAAAAATAACAGATAAGATAAGATATGCATGTTAACCACAAAGACAATTAATTCCTGAAAAGTTTATTTAACGACAAGAAATAGACTAGGTCATAATATCTGACAGGGATGGTGAATATATACTATTTCATTAGCCCGTTTATATATCATTATTTCTCTTTAATTTCCTAGTTTATTCCTTGCGCTATGTTAAATGAAAAATAAATAATACACATGCCCACATACTTGTACAATGAAATTTTATAATATTTAATTATTTATTAATAGAATTAAAATTAAACTCATGATCACTTAATCACAAAATATATAATAATTTTTTTGGAGAATTATCACAAAATTATTATACTATGTCGAAAATCATTTAAATCCAAAAACTTATATTATTAAGTGAATGTGAGATTAATGATTTGTATTATATTTTTCTAACAATTTGGTGGTGGAAAAATGCAAATACAAAGACAAACCACCGTTGCTATATCCACCCCCCCCCCCCCCCCCCCCCCCCTTTCTTATAGTTGTGTGATATGGGAAATCAATCTTTTTAACTTTTAAGATGCTATATCTTTTCCTCTTTTTTTCTTTGTAGTTGGAATAAAGGTGGAGATTATCCCTCAAATCATATCATACTATTTAATAAGTGATAAAGCAAAACTGAAGTATGATAAGGATCTAGTTGAAAGTGAAAGGCGTCCCGTCCACACACGATTCCACTTGTGGAAAGCAAAGCTTTTTCTTTTTGGTGGAGATTCTCTCCCTACTCAAATGACTTTTCTGCAGAACGATTCCTTTGTGCATGGAAAGTATATCGTATGCGAGAAAGTTAGCTCCACGATTCCACGTTTCTTTTATGCGTTTTATGAGATAATTTAACACAAAAAACGGATAGGATTCACTACAAAAGAGAAAGCGAGAAAAAAAAATGAGTTCTATCGACTTTTATGTATTATATAAGATAAAATTATTTCGTGAAATAGGATAAACATATTTTATTTCTTTTATTAGCAATTATGGAGAAAAGAAAAACAAAGGTGCTGCGGAAAGTATTGCCATAAGAGAAATTACTATTACCTAGTACTTTTTTACGTCTTTTTCTTACACTCATAGTTGTTAAAATCTCGATTTATCACTACGATTTTATGTTTTTACGATTTTTTTTCATCAAAAAGATTTTACCAATATTCCAAACGTTTTTACGTTTTTATAATTTTTTTACATTACGATTTTACGTTTTACGATTTTTTAATCCTTTTCTGGTTTTAACAACATTGCTTACACCTACTCGAGAGAAAATAAAAAAGTATTGCATATTAAATAATATATTTTTCTTATTTTAGTATACAAAGTTAATATAAAAA